CTTGTAACTTTTCTTCTCTCTAACTTGCTGAGAAAGACTTCAGGGACTTTGCACTCTTGGGTGAAAAGACAAAATGTTTTGGTGTTTGGTGGGTGAACTGAGAATGAAGTGCATATAAAGTCACGTAGGCCAGAAAGTCAGTGTTTGCAGAAAGTGTTTTTGAAGGTGAGCCAGGAAGCACTTGCTGGTACCTCAGTTTTCTGTGGCATAAGCTCATTGAGCTCCTAGGCAGGAGTCCTGAAGAGCTGGATTTCTGCTCCGTTACAGTGTTACTTTTGTGTTTTTCTCGCCTTAAGAAGAAAAGAGGATGCCTGTTCATTGTACAGTTCAGCGCGTAAGCAGGGAAGGTAATAGCACATGCTCGAAGCATTGCTCTTGTCTGAGCTTGTCTGCATTGGAGAGGTGCGTGGGATACAACTGAGACAGCCTTTCTGAAGGCTGGGCGTCAAAGGCCAACAGCTGCTGCATAAGAGGAGTCCAGGTCATGTGGTTTGGGTTGCAGTTGCCTGTCCTGGGGACAAATGATGTTGAAATAACTTGTCATAAACAATTTTTTCTCGTTCATTTACTCTGATTCGGAACGCATAGCCGATCCTGATAAGAGTCATTCAGGAGTGAAGAGTTGAACTGCCAGAGAAAGCAGCTTATGTGAGCGTTTTAGATCAGGAATGTGCCAACAGTGTGCTAACAGTAAGAAATCTCTTCCGAGGGGGACCTGCTCCTGCACTTCAGGAGAAAGGGGATGCCGGAGGTCTGATGCAGCTTGTTTGCTAAGTGCCGGAATGGCTGGATGGGATTGCTGAAATGGGAGTTGGGTGCTTAAACGTGAATTAGTTGTTTAAATATCTTTATAGATATGTGTGTCTAAGTGCAAATAATCCATAGGATGAATGAAGGAAAGCACTGTGGTCTCAAAGGAATTCCCTCCTCATATTAAAACTGCCAGCCTGAAGAGATGGCTTTCTGATATGCTACTTAAGATAGTCTTTCCCTTCTTCTCAATCTCCATGCACTGCTTTGGGCTAGCTGAACATTTTTGGTTGTAGTGCTGGTGCTGGTCTCTGTTTCCTTCCCTGAAATTTCATTGAAGGGACCTGTGTGAAAAGAATGGGAAGTGCTTTCCAGCTGGTCCCCAAAGCAGCCCAGACTCTTCATTTAAGACTAAGTCATGTTTTAATATGATTTTCCCTAGCTTTGAGTAGATTGAAAAGGAAGGCTGCCTGTAGGAGTCCCTAGTGAAATTTTGATCTCCTTGTGGACACTTGTTCAGTTTTTCCTCTTGTAATACCCGAGGCTCAGGGCCTGCTTGCAGGGCTGGTGGGTTTTGGGGTGAGTTTTTTATTTGCTTGTTTTTTTCCCCAGAGGCGAAAGTAATTACCTAAGCAGAGAACCATCCTGTGTTTTCTAGTTCAAACACTAAGAAATTTCTCTTGCTAGGAAATATACTTGGGAAAACATGTCTATCGGCAATTCTCAAGTCTCTCACTGGTTATGATTTCCTCACTTGTAATGCCTGAACCTGAATCTGGCAAGAGCAAGAACCAGAGAGTTGAAAAATCAGAGCTGCTTTTTTTTGGCAGGCTTTTATAAAAGTTCAAGTATGTACTTCCAAACATTCAGTATTTACTTTATATAGCCTTTGTTTTGGCAAAGGAATTATTAAAGTTATAATTGACTTTACTGCCCTTTCTGAGGTTCTTCGATATTTTCAGGAGAGCATAGCATTGCTTTTACAGTTAGGTGCCAAAAAAGATCAAGGCTTTATGTAGTGTCTCTTTCATGAAGTTTTAACTTGCTGGGCGGAAGAATTCGCTTTAAAGACTATGGTCCTACCTTACCGAAGTATTGTGAAAAGAGCATTATTCAGTTCCTACTGTTCTGTGACCTAGATTAAACCTGAGCTGTGGTAGTAAAAGCTAGCACGGAGTGCACCTTGCAGTTGTAGTTATTGATCTGAAAGGGCTGGCAGGTTGGTTCTGTATGCTGCCATGTTCAGGATATAAGGCTATGAAAATGTTTCAGGGAGAGAGCTTCTGGACTAACTTCACTGAGCTCAACAGGATTGAGTTAAAAGAAAAGGATTGATCTTTGGCTTACTGACTTGTTTGCAAAAATTTGACTTGGTTAAAAGCTTCCAAGTAGCTTTAGTGCCACTTTCAGATGCTTGAACTGATACTTCAGTCAATGAGAATAATCTGCTTCAAGACAGGTTATAGCAAGAATAGCTACAGTACGAGTATTTTTCTGTGCTCCCAATCTTCCTATTAAAGCAAGCACCGCTACCGAGACTGAGTTCTGCTTTGAAAAGGGAGCTGGTGACCCCTGTAAGTCCTCAATGCCTGCAGACGCTGCTGGTAAGAAGAGCTCATTGTAGTAATCAAGTGAGTACTCCTCAGATGTAAAAAATTGGCCATGTGATTGGTGTTTCACTGGAATTTAGATCTTTCAGACAGTAGTCCTGTAGTGGGTAAGTCTTGCACTAAAAATATTCTCTTCTTGTTTAGTATATTTTTTAAAAATTTTTCAATAACGCAGCACCAACTATCCAGTCTGAAACAGTTTTACAGCATACACAGTCAGTTTCAGAGAGCTTAATGTAAAATGCTGTGTTACCATAAAAGCTAGAATCTCTGAATATCAGGGAAGCTGGCCAGAGTTGCTGTGTAATCAACAGTATGTGCCTAAGTTAAATCCTAATTGTGACAAGCCATTTTGTGATCTTCATGTAAGTTGAGAATTTCAGTTAGACTGCAGAGGAATCTAATCTTTAACCACATTAAGATTTGCAACTTTAATTGAAAGAAAAAAACAAAACTCCCCCCACTTTTGTAAAGAAAACATCTATTTGTTGTCCCAAGAATGGATTAATGGAGACTGTGGTATCCTATGTATCCTCTGCTAGCAAGTTTGTCTTCATTATCTCATTCCACCTGTGCAGCTAGGTACATCTGCTGAAGTCCCATTTTTCTTACTAATCAAGGTGCAGCTTTTCCATCCTGGGGCTCACTGGATTGAAGGAGGCTGGAGGAATAGACAGGATTATGATGGTGCTGACTGTTCTATGGGAAGGATCAGTTTTGGGGAAGAAGAGTTTGAGTGTTGATCCCTAGTAGTCTTACTATATTTAATGTTGTCCAAGTGCTTGTAACCAGACAAGCGCTCTATAAAGCACACTTAAATAAACGTTGATGAAAGCATGTTTTATGATCCTCTGCATTTCCATGAGCTATTGAGAGGTGACACAATTGTAATGTCACACCAGGATATTATCTGACAAGTTGGGGGAGTTGTTCTTAAGCCAAAAAGATTGAATCATCACGTTCCTTTTAACCTTTCACAAGTTAGTGGTGTTGGCCTGATTTGAACTGGTGGCTGAAAGGTAAGAGACTGCGTAATGATTCCCAAAGCTCCTTTTTTTAATTGCAGTTTTGCTTAAGTTAACAGCAAAACTATTGCACTTTGATAGTGTTCTCCATGGTCTTAACTATTTAAAACAAAAAACCCTGCGTTATTCTTCCTCCTTTGCTTCTTTGCCATAATTTGTCATAGTTATGTTAACATGCTTTCTGATAGGCTTTTTACTTTGATACTTAAGGCTTTTCAATAGGAACTGTGATAAAAATGGAATTTCACTTGTCTTAGAATCAGGAGGGTTTGGATTTTTTTTTTCTTTTAAGTAAAATAATTGAGTTATGTTGGTAGCTAGAAAAGCAGCAGCTTGTCTAAGGATACAGGAATTACAGGCTTTTTTTCTCCCCCGCCTGAAAGAAGCTCATATGACAGATAAGTGCAATATTGGATCATCAAGAATATAAATGCCAGTGTTCCTGTGACACTATTAGCCATTAGACTTGTTAACTTTTATTAGGAATAAAATGTAGGTTTCAGCAAGTTGAGCCAAGTGTTTGTACTTAAATATTTCTGGTCTCAGGATTATCCAAGTTACATTTAATACCCTCTTCATTGCCTGTGTACTGGCTGTATTGTTGTTGCCTTCACCTGCTTTTTAATGCTTTTTCTCCTAAATCCTCCTCAGGAGTCCTCTTATCTTGATTCCTTGTGTTGGGGTTTTTTGTTTTGGTTTTTTGGGGGTTGATTTTGGATTGGTTTTTTTTTGGTGTGTGTGTGTCCCCCCCATTCCATAGTTCTGGCTATTCTTTTCTGTATTTCTTTTTCATTTCCAAAGCTTCCATTGATCATCTTGAAAGTTTAGGAAGCTTGTTAGTTGTTCTTTCTCCAGCTCAACAGCTCAGTGCATCTGCCTTCTTGTGTTGCAGCTTTAGAGAGGATACTTGCTGTCCAAAGCAGCAAGTAGAGAAGAATGCCCTTTTTTCTTCTTTGGTTGAGGGGCTTATACAGGTATTCTGAGAACAAGACAGAAGAGTTTTTAAATTTGTTTATCTTCTGGGTTTTTCCTGTCTTTACCAAGCAAACTTCCAGTGTTGCAGAAATGCAGTTTGTGTTCAGGCAAAGAGCTGCAAGAGATCCAACTGACCTGGTTGTATATTTGTACTATGCATGTGATTAGCATGAGGCTATATGTGTAGTAGGATGTTACAGATGTGGCGTAAGGGGGGGCAGGTTCTATATAGTTCATGGGATCACACAGTTCCAGGAGTACTAGGAAAATGCGACCGTATCCGCCAATTAATTCAAGCATGAATTTAGACAGCAGTGGCTCTGCGGCGTTCACAGAGTGTTCTTACAATAGGATTTGTTTTAGAAGGCTCCAGAAGGCTGTTTTGAAGTTCATAAGAAAGTGAACTTCACAAACCATTGCTTTTAAATATACATACCTATATGTGTGTATGCGTATATGTGTGCGTGTGTATATATATATTTAAAAGCAACTCTGACTTTCCCACCAGCTTTCTGAAACTAAGCTATTGCAGACTTCTTTCCTCCAAGATTAAGCTTGCTGTAGATTCTTAAAGAGAAAATTAATCCTAATGAATCAAGTCTAATTTAATGTCTCTTTAAAATTATTTTTATTTTAACAGAGCTATCTGAAATTGAACCCAACATCTTTCTTCGGCCTTTCCTGGAAGTAATCCGTTCTGAAGACACTACAGGCCCCATAACTGGATTGGCCCTCACCTCTGTGAATAAGTTCCTCTCATATGCACTAATAGGTACGTTATGTGGCTTCCTGGGATTTACCAACATGCCATCCAAATGCATCTCCTTGAGATGTGTCTTTGGCCAGGATACATGCTTGCAGTCTTAATGAGGAGATTGGGGAAATAAGAGAATTGTCGTTAATGCTGGGGAAATAGGCAGCTGCAGGTTTCTTAATATCATACCTGCTGGTCTTTCATGGCACTACACCAATGGCTGGAAACGGAACCAAAGCTTCTAGTCTGACCTGACTGCTGCATGTGTTTATGGCCCGCTGCTGGACTGTGGTGGTCACCAACTGCTTTTTAATGCAGTCTGAGCAAAAGGGCCAGGGAGGGGAGAATACCAGTTTGGATTACAGTGTTGTAATATGCATAAACACAGTAGAATTTATTTAGTTTTGTGGACTAATATTTCTGTTCTAGAGTGAGGATGAATTTTTTTGCCCAGTCTCAGGCGCTGTCCAGTGGTGTGCCAGTACTCTTCACTTGTCGCAATTGTCATGGTAGAGACAGTTTTGCTGCTGCCCAGACTTTCAAATGTGCATGTTCTCCTTTATATTTGTGAAAGACTAATAATGTGCATGTGGTCAGTTCCCATGGCTCAGCTGGCTTGTAGCAACTCATTAGCTGGCTTTCTGTCTGTCTTCAGTGTGTCATCCTGTTGTTAGTGGTGCTTGACTTTTCTGTGTAAATTCTGTTAGTACTTTCTGATCATACTTCTGTGAATGACAAAACTTATCTATATCTGTTTATATGTAGTCTCGCTTGGAGAAAATTATTTTACCTGTGTTTCTCTCTCCCAAGTTCAGATTTCTCAATTCTTTTCCTCCCTTACATCGTAAGTGAACACTGTTGAATTTTTGGCACTGTTGTTTTAAATATTTTGTTCTTTGGAGTTAGCATGAGGGAAGTTAGAGAAAGAAAGGGCTTGATGTAGATGCAGACCACTTGTGGGAAAGACCCAAAATTAAAATGAGGAAAAATGTCGACTTGCAGGAAAAAAAAAAATGTAAGAGTGTGATGGCAATTTAGTGTATCACAATATCAATTAGTGGGCAGTATTAGGTATAATTAAATGGCAAAAAATAGCTAAAATGATTCAATATTGATGGCACTTCGTAGGACAAGAAAGAAATCTTAATGAAGATTTGTAAAACATGTCCCTCTGAAGGACTAAGCAATAATGCAAAATATGTTAGTTTCAACATAGAATGAGGGACGGACTCTTCTTCTGGGCTTTTATGGTCTGGGTGGGATCAGAACATCAGGCTGGTATCACATGTCCAGGCAAATGTCTGCACAGGCAACTGGCTACAAATACTTGATTTGAGGCAGGAACAGGAAAAAATGTGGTTAAGAGTTTGTAGCCTTTCTCTAGCTACTTGTTATTTAGAATATTAATTAGGTCACTCCAGCAGGGGCTCATCCCTGTAACTCTTGGTAAGCGTGTGTCTTTGTAGTAGACAGTGGAAAAGACCCTCTGCCTGGCTTTTGTTGTGGAGCAGAACCTGTAATCTAAGACCTCCGTTGCTGCTTCAGGTGACATTCACAGCGGCCTTGTCCTTTGTGCTGCTCCAGATACCAGTGAGGCTGGGATTAGTGGTGCTGACTGAACATCTGGCTAGGGTTGTGTTGTTAAATTAAAGCTTTTTGGTCTTTATATTTCTTTTTGTAATATAAGACTAAAGGTAGTCTAAAGACTGTTTGCCTAAAGATGGGAAAAGCTTAAAACTGTCCTGAACATACGAATCTGTTTTAAACTGTATGGAACAAGGAAGGAAGGACTCTGGCATAACCACAGTGGGGAGATTTCAGTGTGGCTGATATTTGTGGTGCATTTTGGGGCTGTATAATTGATAGGTGAAACCAGCACTTTTTTCAAAAGCATCGTTAGCTTTGTCTGTTCTGTGAGTGGATGGCTTTTGCTCTACACACTGGGTCGAAAACTAGTGGGCAGTGAGAGGGCCAAACTTCTCTGATAATTATCTTTGTTTAAAACTGCTTTCTTTTCCTATTTCCAAAGCACTTCATTGCTAATCCTTGTGCCGTCTTGCTGTTTTTCTTATTTTGTCACATGTCAGCAGGTGGTTATCTGTCTACTTTTCAGGCCAGTATTTCTGAGGGGTATGTTGTTTTAAAACGAGTTAGAAAGGAATAAATCTTGAGTAGCCTTTGAGACTTCTGATCTCTAGTAGTCTGAACTGCAAAGATCTGTTCTGAGGTTGTTGGATGCAGCAGTTCACTAATGGTATAGCATGCAATGACATCTCAGATAAAATGACTTGATATCCACCATGCGTGTTTTGGTAGGAATAGTTAGCCTTACAGAGATTATCCTCTGCTCTGAAATAAATACTACTGTTTCAAGAGCTATAATCAGTATATTACATAGTAATTTTTAAAGTACAGGAAAACTGTGCAATGATACTAAACTCCCATTGATTTTTATCCCTCAGATTAGTTATTTCCTTACTCAGCAGTTTTGCACTAGCTAGCTAGCTGTCAGCCTTTTTGATGAGCTCAAACCTTAGCTATAGGAAGACTAGTGGCTGAATTTCAGAACTGTATTTGTTGTATTTTCCTCAGAAAAGGTATGTGCTCTTTTTATTACAACAGTGTGTTCACAGCAACTTCTGGTTCCATTTCTAAAGTTAACTTTCCCTGGTGTTCCTGAAAACTACGTATCTGTAAGTGAGTAGCTGTCGCTCAGCTTCCAGCGAGAGGACTTGCTGTTTGGGGAGTTTAAAGCTTTTTCTCCCCTCTACCTTCTCTGTCTCCTTGGTGATTTTAGTTCTATTAAAGGTGTTCCTGAGCAGTCTTCTGGCTTTCCTGGATTTCCATGATGGTTGAGAGCCTGGATTTTCTGCTTTCTGCTTGTTCTTCTGCCTCCCTGTTTTGAGAGTACACCCCATATAAAATGTGTGAGTCTAGGTGGGCTCTCTGGATCTTTGCATTGTAGGTGGCAATTTTCACACTGATATATTGCTTGACACAAGCTTATTTTTGTTAGTGATTCTAAGCAGGCATTGACACATCTTTCTGTGCAGTTTTCTCACAAGGGAACAAAGAAGCAGGCTGATCTTTTCTGTATCTTGTTTCTGCAAAGTAGAAGTATCTGTGCTTTTAATTGAACTCAAGAGGCTTTATAAATTGACCTGAATTTGTGGAGCTGTTCCAGGGAGCCAGGACTGAAGTAGTCAGGCGTGATGTGTGTTGGGAGAGAGGTGTGTATATTAGTGTTGAAGGTAGGGGCTAGAACAGCAAAGCAGTAGTCATAGATCTGTTAAAGAAGCATATGCACAACTTGCTTGCATTTCCTTTTCACACAATTTACCCAGAACTATGACTAAATGTATCCCTAAGCCTACAGCAACTCACATCTACTGGAAGAGGTGACAGTGAAGTGAATCTGTGTGTTCTGCCTGTGGGAGCCTTTTCTGCAGCAAGTGGCTTTTTCCTTTTGATGCCCACTTAGCTGCTTTCCACTGTAATCGTTGAGGTTGGTTAACTGTAATGCTAATGTAGGTGCTGGTGTTGTAACATCACTGCTCTTTACCTGATTTAATTGAGGCAATTTAGAATGATCCTGCACCCCCATTGGTGATTTAAACTATTATTTCCATTTGTGAATAAGAGTGCACAGGGTACCAACATATGGCTGATTTTATTGCCTCTAGTAGAAGAGTGGTAGCTTCTAACTGGATTATAAGCCATTATCAAAGGTACACAGAGAACTGCCTTTGACAGCCAGGCCTCTTATCTAATGCTTCCCAGGATCAGCGTTTGGTATCCTGTTGACTGCTGCTGCTGAAGCAGGTAAAAAATGACTGATTGGTCTTAGAACAGACTCCTTGATAGCTCAATGAGGTTTGACTAGCAGAAGGAGAGGAGAGGAACTCACTCTCAGCTATGCAAGGTTTTTTGTGTGTGTGTGTGTGTTTGTGTGAGACAACTGTCAAAAGTAGGCAAGCTCTGCTCTTAATAGGGATGTGTAAGGGATGGCAAAGGAGAAGTGCTGCTCCTGTGCAGATTTATGGGATTCTGAAGTACATTGATGCCATTTCAGTTTTGTGCAACTATGAGAAGTTTCTTATCTTGCAGCCCCTCAGAATCCCCACAGTGTGATGGAGGCTGCTCTCTTTTGACCACAATAAGGGCAGCTTTCTTTAATGCCTAGGGCTTAGCCTCTCCTAGGTGTGAACACAACTGGAGTCAAAAAGGGAGCCTGCAAAGCTTCTCTGCGAAGCATACAAGGTCTTCCTTGGTTCCTCTGTCAGCTTCATTCTTGCTGGAGTTCAAGAGGCCCCGTTGCCAATTAATGAGGTATTAACTAGTGTTTAGGTTGTCTCCTTTCTTTCCTAATGACTGTTTAGGTAGGAAGGTAACAAGATTCTTGCCCAGTGTCGTATTGTTTAAGTGAGAATGAAATCAAAGCCGGAGGCAGCTTTTCTGAAGCCACTGTAATGTGGCACAAGATACGGTTACTAGCAACAATCTCGTCCTAAACATTCTCTCAACTGCACCATTGTTTGTAGCTACAGAAGACTGAAACAGAGAGAAGGAGCCTTGATGAATGATTGAAGCGGGAGGCCTGCAACTCCGATATCTAAACTATGATCGTGTCTGCCTACTGTTGTCTCTGGGGAAAGCTACTGGTCCATTCCTTCCCCAGCTCCTATTCTTTGGGAGGGATGTAGAACAAGAGACAATTTTTCCTTCTCAATCTAGTGGAACCTGTTTGGCATTTTCTCCTCATGGGAGTAAATTTGAGGTTCCCTATGTTTAAGAGCTGTTTTCTCTTCATTCCCAAGGAGGAACTGAATGCATTTAACAGCTGATAGTGCTGTATTGTAGGGAACAGGACATAGTTGTAACAAATTAAGGTCTAAAAAAATATGGAGCCAGTAACAACTGAATTGTAATTCTTTTCTTTGTTAGGTTACATCTTTCTGCAAATGTAAATAGACTCTTGATAAAATCTTTCTGAAAGCTCCCAGTTTTAAAGTCTTTCTGTTACTGGGAGGTGAGTTTCGCTCTTGTAGGGTCAACTCGCTCCAGCTCACACAAATTAAGGAAGCAGATGGCAACAAAGTATCTCTGTGTGGATGTCTCCCCACAGAGGTGGTAGGCTGTAGGTGGCCTTTCGCTGTCATATATTTTTGTTCTGTAACTCAGATCCCAGCCATGAGGGCACAGCGGAGGGGATGGAGAACATGGCAGATGCTGTCACTCATGCCCGGTTTGTAGGCACCGATCATGCGAGCGATGAGGTTGTCTTGATGAAAATCCTACAGGTAAGTGGAGAGAAATGGTAATTACCATAATGGTTGCTGCCCGTTGTGGAACATATCGTGTTACATGGAGATGAAGAGGAGGGAGCAATGTTTTGACTCTGCAGGAGCTTAGTGACAGACTTTATTTTTAAACAGATGGCTCATATACCTGTGGTAAAAGCTTTTCCAAATGAAAATAATTAAAAGCTTAAACAAAATGATTTTTAAATTAAGGGCTTGATAACGTGGTAGTGTTGATAATCCTACCTTATGCATGGTCTGTGTTAGTGAGGGGTAAATTAAGCATATGGAGCTCTCAAACTTACTTTTGAGAAAAATTCTTTGTAGAGACAAACCTATGAACTATAAACCTCTTCGGTCTACGTATTTTTGAGCAGATAGCTAGTTACCGAATTTCAGTATTGGGTAGCATGCAGCATATCAGGCCTCTTTAAGAAGTGGGTCAGGAGATCATTCTTGTCTCCTAATCTGTCCGTTTCTTGAGCACAGCATTCGGTTTGAAATGACTCCTGGAAAACCCTTAGGTTTTGTGCTCATGGCAGTCCTTCTTGAGGAAGCCAACCTTCTCTTGGAAATGCATGCAAGTGTCATTGTACTATGGGACATACATGCGCTGTTCTTTGCAGGTTTTGAGGACCTTGCTGCTGACTCCAGTGGGAGCCCACCTCACCAATGAATCTGTGTGTGAGATCATGCAGTCCTGTTTCCGCATATGCTTTGAAATGAGACTCAGTGGTAGGTTTCTTCATACTTCTGCACTTAAGAAATGATTGGGTTTCCTCAGTATTAACTAGTTCTATTGTAGAACATGCAGCTGTGGAAAGCTGCTGAGCTTTATATTATTGTGTCTTTCTACAACTTCATGGAAAATTTGTTAGGAGCTCTCTCTACAAGTTTTGACTGCTCTTTTTCCCCAGCTTTGTGGCGCCACCTTGTGATTATATGCCCATTTGCAGTAATGCGGTGTTGGAGCTGGTTTTAATAAATTTGCCGTAATCTCTGTAAACAAGGCTCGGAGGGGAGTCTGCTTGAAGAAGCCTCTTGATAATATCACACTGAGTAATGACACCTGTGTTATTTGTTTTTGTCTTCGCAGAGTTATTGAGAAAATCTGCAGAGCACACTCTGGTCGACATGGTGCAGCTGCTCTTCACAAGGTAAACCTGCTTGTGTTTGCCTCAGCATTGCCGAGATGGCCCTCTAAGGACAGAAAGATTCCACACTTCCACTTAAGGGCCCTCAGAAAAATCATCCAAAGTGGTCATTATTTAGAGGTGGAAGGGGATAAAGGATTTGGCACTTTTCTCTTGGGCTGACCCTGTCAGACTGCAGGGAGACAGAAGTAGGGAAGGTTGCCTGGTTTAAGGTATCCTTTGAGGAGAGATGGACAGCCAAGTAATGAAGAGCTTTAGGATAGGGAACCAGTTTGAGGACAGAGAATACAAACTTCACTCAAAAAAAAAAAAGTGCTCTAAAAAATATAGCTCTCTTCAGGAGAGAGAATAGGAATGGTGTTGAATAGTCACATGTTGATTTCGAGCTGAGAGCTTTGACCTCATATATCAAAGAGAATTTTAAACTCTTGAGATCATATGTCTTGGACAAACGTTCTGCCCTTTTCAGCACCCTTCAGGTAATTAAGATTACTTCTTTTAAACTCAAGTAAGTTATTTAACTTCAAAACTGTTTCTCCAGAGTGAAGTAATCATAGTCTTTCTTTGGGTATTGTAAAAAGGAAACGTGCAGGATATAGAAATACTTTTAGTAGGAAAGGATTGTAGTAAAAGTGACAGCTTGTGAAACACAGCTCTCATAATATTATTTTTTTCCCATTGTCGCACTCTGTTCCAGTGGATTCCTAAGTGTTGGTGGTTTTTTTGTTTTGTTTTGTTTTGTTTTTTCCTCTGTGCACCCTGTGTCATGTGGTGCACTGGATGAATGTGGGGCAGAGTCAGAATCAATCTTTCCAAAAAGGAGAGACCGCATTACTTTTTCTCCGAATGCATATGTGAATTTTACGTAGTGCATATTCGTTACTTATTTTGTGTCCTCTCCTCTGTCCTTCTTGATAAGGCTTGGAGACACAGCCACCATCTGTGTCTGTGGACATTTGGATATAGAAGCAAGGCAAAGACAGCAACTGCAGGGATGGTTTGGCCATCTTGCTTTCCAGAAAAAGAGACAGCCAAAGCTATGCTGCAAGGCTTTTATCCCTTCAGCGAGCAAAGATAGAAGTGTAGTAAAGGAACAGAAGGGAGAGCAGGGTGTGTGGAGTTGCAGAGCTGTATGCATTTGTCATTTGGTAGCACAGGTGAGAGCTGTCTACCTCCTTTATTTCTGAGACAGGGACTGCTTAGCTCAAAGCATTCAGCTTAAACATAGATCCGCTGTGCACTATAATTGTGTTTATGTAATCCAGAATAGAGGATAACTACTGGGGTTTCTACAAAGTTAATGAAAAGGGTTGCCATGACTAGTAAAAACATGTACACTGCAAGACTCCTGATGTGCATGACACTCTGGCTCAGAAGCTGTTTTTAGCAGCATCAGAGAAACCTGTTTTGAACGAATCTAATTAGTCCACTGCTGAAAACATACACTGAAGGAAAAGAAACTGTACTTACATGACCATTAACAATGAAAATCAATATAGCAAAACTGCCATTAGCAGTAATAGCATGCAAAGCACCTCTTATCTATACTTGTTTTTTTTTTCCCTCAGCAGATTTTGGCAGGAAAAGAAATAAGAAGGTCTCTTTTTGCAGAGAAAAACTCATTTTGGTTTTGTAGCATGTCTCTGGAAAGACCAGTCTATTTTTTTTTTCCCTTTTTATTAACCCAAAAAAGTTTATATATTTTGGCTTGTTCTTTGTCCTTCAGATTGCCTCAGTTTAAAGAGGAGCCTAAAAGCTACATGGGAACAAACATGAAGAAGGTAAGACTCAGCACTGTGTTGGCTGTTCTGCTCGTCTTGGGCTTGTGCTCATCTCTATATTGTTTGTTTTCACACTTGTGTTTCTTCATTCCTGCAAGTCCCTAGTTCACTGAAAGAGCATGTTTAACCGCATAAATGGACATAGCTTCACTAATTCTGTGGGATTAAGCCCACATCGTGCAGTAGTGAATCTTGTTAATGATACTGCTGCCTCTAAGTGAGTCAGTCTGGATTCTGGGAACAGCCATCAGCTGCTGTGGGCTAGAAAACCACAGCAAGTTGTGGGACCTGATGGTGACGTCTTCTGATCATTTGGTGTCTTCTGCTCTCTCTCCAGCTTCTTTCTCATCTTTCTTCATTCACTACAGCTCTAATACTGAGCTCTCGGGATGTATTTGTCCAGTTCTCCCTATGTAGAAAGGAAACATTTTGAGGCTGGCGAAACAGCATGAAAGCATTATGAAATTGGGCTATTGTAGAAAAAACTTTGGTGGCTTCTAGAAGGGGCAGCATTCTGTAGCAAAAACCTTAGTTCACACAGGCAATGCCATCTCTATTATCAGCCAAATCAAAGCAGACTGTTCTTTTTCTCCCTTTCCCTAAATGCACAGTTTTCTTAGGGTGGAAGGTCCAGGTTTGTTCAACACCACCATCTCCTTCTATACAGTGAGGTTTTTAGCAGCTGGGTTCAGTATGGCAAATACTGTAAATGTGACCATATGTGATTATCAATGTAATAATTTCTTAGGTGGAGGGAGGTCTGCTTGAGGAACTCCATATATACTTCATACATATAATCTTTATACTCCATATAAAGAATGTCAATAAGAATACAGGATTTTACTGTTGAGAGCAAGAGGATGGGAAGAAGAGTGCTAGAGAAGAAATAACTACCTTTGAACTTATACTGAATATAACTATGTATAACATTGTAACTTCCACTCTGTTTTTATTTTTAATGAGTTGAGACAAGTGGCAACATTGGGTGTACAAATGTACATTTCGGAGCCAGTACAGCAGTGTTCTGAGAGACTGAATGCTTCCTTGTAGGAATCTGAAACTAGCTTGGGGCTTTAGTTCTTTTGTAGTAACCTAATGATTGCTTGTTTCCCTTGCTGTGGGAGAAAAGCAGCAAGATTTGTGATGATGGTAGGCTGGCCTAAGGAAAGCTAATGTCAGGTTAATGTACTTCAGGTATCAGAATTTGTCATGGTCTCTATAGAGAAGGTGTAACATGAAGGTGAATTTGAATTAAGGAGGGCTACCCTTATCAAGTGATGGCTGCTCCCAGCTTGGTTAAGTGATGCTCTGTCTTGTGTCTTGATCTGTGCAATTACTTTGTACTGTCTCTTCGCTGTGCATGCCAGGAGTCTGCCCTGCAGCCTTGCACTCTGCCAGGTTATTCTTCTCTGGGTTTATTTTGCTTTGTTTAAATCATGCATTTGCCTATCTTTCACAGATCTCTTCATGTCTCCTCAACAAACTGGAGCTAAGTAGTGGGGAACAGCCCAAAGCCCTGAACCAATTAGAGAGGGTATTGCTCTTTAAGAACCTGAAGGTCTCTCTCTCCCTCTTCCCTTCTTACCTTACTCCCCTCTTCCTTCTCTTGTAAACACCACCTGAGAGATAGTTTTGTTGTGTGCAGCAAATCTCCCTCCACTCATTTGACACAGCATGGCTTTGGGGGACAATGCATGCAGCGGTTGCTTTGCAGTGTTGTGGCTGCAGCTGGGGCAGGCTCGGAAGGGAGAGACCAACCCTTGTTTTACTGCAGCATTCAGTGTCTTGGGGAGTGCCACCTAAGATACCATCATGGCATCCTCTGAAGGAAGGGAGTGGGAGGGTGTGGGCAAGATTTGAGTTCTCTCTGACAGTGAAAAACTGAACAAAAGAAACATCAAAAATGTAGATTGTCCTCTGAGGGCTCAAGTGTTGTGTGTCCTAGCTGCTGACCTTGGTTATAGATGTAGCAGCATACCTGAGGAGTCTCTTGATCTAGCATGCCTTAGACAGTTTTACTCAAGGTGAATCTCTGAGCTTTGTTACTTGGTACAGGACCACAGAGTTCAATGCTCTCTGAAGTTTTTTTGAAGGAGACAGGAGACTGCTGTACACTTTCAACATCGTCGGCCATGTTTCTTCTGAAATTAAATATGGTTCCCAGCACAGTATTTGCTAGTGTGGGATGAGTGGGGCTGAACTGAATTATGAAATGTGTTAGTCCCTGCTAGTTGCCCTGGAAAATATTTCTAAAGAAATATTGTAGGCCTGCAAACTGTCGTTTTTAGACTGATCATAGAAACCCTGAGAAACTAGAGTAGATGGGACCCTTCTCAGTTTCTCATGTTGGTTCATAAACTTAATGTAGCTTTAGTTCTTGTCTGCCCTTAAAGCTATTTGGTGCAAAATGAGCTGAACAGAACATTTGGAGGTGTTTGACATTCCTTTGTCCTGTGTCTATGGTCAGGATAGTTTGGAAAGGCAGTGGCTGGAGTCTTGCAGATTTATGCAAAGTTACACAGAAGAAAAGACTAAGAAATGTTTCCCTTTGCAGTAGAAAGTGGTGTAGCTAAACATTGGGTTCTGCATTGGGAGTCAGGAAGAACCCACATCTGAGTTTTCACAGATATTGGGAGTGGATTATGTTCATAGTTCCCAAGATGCATAAATACGTTTCACGAGATAAACTTCCTTAGTTGTTGCAGTGCAGGCAGGTAGGTAAGTGAGATAACTGGACTGCATCAGTGTCTCCAGGACTTGGATTGTGGACTGCGTTCTCTCTGCATGCTTTTGTGTCTTGAACGCTACTTGGTGTGCTGACCAGTTCCATGCTGCATCTAGACTGAGCTCATGTTTTAGTATAATCACTTTAGTTACTAATCATTGGCCCCTGCCCTTTTCTCTTGAGGCTTACAGTATCTTATGGAAAAACAAACGAGTGCAGGTAAGGTGGCTTGTAGAAAAATGAGATCTCACAGACTCTTTAAAAAGAATTTTGTAGTATTACATTTTTCTTCACCTTCCTAGACCTTAGCTGGAGTTTTATTGTTAAAACCTCATCTATCAAAGGAAGCATTTGGAGTCTTGTAAATTTTTTTTTTTTTTTTAATTTTGTGTACACGTTTCTTTATGCAAAGGTAACTCAGATAAATGTAATGGAATCTGTTCTGAGTTCCAAGATGAATGAGCTGTAGCTCTGAGCTCCCTCTCTGCTCAGATTTCTAAAAAATGTTTTTTAAATACTAACTTCAGTTGTTTTTTACTGTGGAAGTACAAGCTTAATCTAATCTAAAGGACATTGATAATTAGAAAACTAATTGAACTATAATATCACTGAGCATTGGAGAGGGAAGGAGAGTTTAGATCTATTAAATGACATTTACGTGCAGCATTTAGTCAAGAAGGCAACCTTAGGTTTAAAATCTCAGCCTGTTAACATGCAACCAAGCTTTCTAGCGAAATCAGGAAATGCCTCAGTATTGAAGGTAAAAACAAGCATTAGAAATAGTTCCTTTAGTCAAAGACAAACTATAGAAGTTTTTTGATGTTTTTGGACTAACATAAAAAGCAAGCAGCCGTGGCATTGTTACATTTTAATTCAATACAAAATACAGAATGAAAGATGTTACTTTGCTGTCCTTTGATACATGTATTGTTTTAGAATTCACCAACTCAGAGTTTGTTTGTTAAAACCAACATGTAGCCCCTTGACACTGGTGAAACATTTCTATTAAGCATTTATGTTTGCTTCTGCAATTTTTTTAAGCTATGCAATTGTCATTGATTGCAGTTTGCTATCTCTTACTTATAGGAGATAGCAAAAGAAAAAAAAAAAGGGGGGGGGGTGATATAGGGGGTAGTCCTAGGTAATCCTAGTAGGTAATTCTAATAAAAGGATACCTGTTTGTGTAGAATGTGGAATACTGGATGGCACGAGATGGAAAAGACCTACTGGGTAATCTCACTTATCTGTTAAATTGTTCAAAAAAAAGCCAAAACAAAGCAATCCCCCCCAACCTACCCAAAACCCCAAATAAACTTAGATTCTTGTCTGAATGCTTTATTCATTCATTTATTCACTTCAATTAAATGTTTGGGATTCTTTAAAAATCAACTGAGTCTTTTTGTTTCCCTGACTAAATGGTTTCCCATCCATGTGAGGCTGTTGTGACTCAGTCTCTGAAAGATAGCACAGGTTCATCAAAATGATGACAGACAAGCATATGTCTCTTACGAACCTCAAGAGAAGAAATCTTGGAGTTAATACAAAGCACAGGACAATCACTAAAAATGGGTATTGTGTCTGAGGAAAAGTGCTTTTTCGACAGGGCTGGTGTTAAACTGAGATGGTATTTGGTGTTGTGTGAAAGGGGAGATCAGAAATAGTAATTAAATTGTCAGCTTGAACCTTCTGATGGGATGGTTCAAAAGTTATCTCTTTCTCAGGAGCATGACTGAGGGTAAAAGGAGTGGGACCGACATGGTTAGCTGCTAGCAATATCTTCGCTCTGTTTTTCTGATTCAATTCTGTGCCCTCTTCCCCTCCCCCAATTTTTATTAGCAAGTGACTTCTTACCTGGCAAATCATGGCAACAGCATATAGTAGCTAGAAGCAAAGTCTGTTATTTTGAAATTATGTGAAACAGACTTTCTTGGGTTTAACATGTAATGCTTCCAGGTTTCCTTCCTACTTGAAGTAGTCTGATACAATGAACCATAAGTCTTCAGATTTTATTTTATAAGTTACTGAAAAGGAACTGAAAAGGAAAAAAAAGGGCTATTTCTAGAATAGTTGGTAGGTAGGGTAAAGCTACCTGGTCTAATTAGAAGCTTAAGCCTTTAATGAATAAAACTATTGGTAATATTTAAGTCTCAGAGAGATTTTTAAATGGAAAGGGAAACAAATAGAGGTGAAACATTAGGAATTCACAAGAATTAAAGATAACACATTTTATATAGTCTTATGAGGTAGTGAATAGGAAAGATGAGAGAGCTGACAATTTTTACTTGAAAGGATTGTGATCCATAAGCATTTTAAAACATTTTGAAATCTACAAAATTTTGGTTTTAGCTGTATGCTTGTCACATAAGCGTTTGTCAGAAGCTGTGATTTAGAAGGAGAGTCTTGCCGCAAAATTTGGAAGAAATAACAAGGAGCAAAGTAATTCTGAGTCTGTTGTTAATTAACAAGCTCAAGAAAACTGTAGCATTGCTAAAACTTGGGGATTAGTTGTCAAACAAATAGAATTTGTGGTGCAAAGAAAAGTTACACAAATGGTTTACTGCACTGGGACGTAACATTTTCACAAGCTTTGTTTAAATGAGAAAAATTACAGGCCGTGTACAATGAGTTAGAATTCTAGCTGGGAAAGAGATGGAAAAACAGTAGCAGAACCTAGAAGGTTTATTGGCATTTAAGAAGAGTAGTAGCTGGAAGGAGGCAAGTTGCAGAAAAAGGAAGAGACTAAAGAATATAGCTGTCTTCTAGAGAATATATAAATCTGATGCTAAGGATATAAGAAATAAGGAATATTATAGCCTAAAATATAACATAACTGTGATAAATTTACAAAGAAGAATACCAAGTAGGGACTGGTATTGAGACTTGCTGAATGGTTTCCACTACATGCAAGGTACCTGTTCAGTGGTTAAATTTTCACCCCCGATTGAAGAGGTCTGACAGCATCGGAAAAGTTGACTGCAGCTACCAAACGCAAGAGTAAGTGCAATCCTGCACTTAGAGAAACTTACTTTAGAAGGAAGCTGTTTTCGGGCCTGCTGTTGCCATTGTCAATGTGACTAAATATTGCGTTGTTTTTAGGAAGTTCTGGAGCATCTGTGCATGCCTGCAGTAACAGCACACTGTGGCAAGTGCCACACGGTCTGCATTGCTCCTGCTGTGGTTCTTGTTTGCCCGATCAAACATCTGTGTAAGAAGTAGAAGTAGGACCCTGGTCAAGAAGGATGTCAAGGGTTAGGTTAGATTTAGATCTGAAGAGGAGTAATGACAGAAGGCAGATAAAAGCAGAATATGGTTTGTCTCTAAACCGCTAGGGTGGTATTTGCAATGTGTCATGCACCAGGAGCGAGTGGAGTGTTAGAGAAACAGTTGTTAATAGTGAAAGATACCTGGAGGAAAGTGAACATGGCATTGCTGTGAAGATGAAGAGTGAATTGAGGCAAGAGATAAGTGACAGAGCTGCAGACTGTGCAGTGTGGGACTGGGTGCTCAGGCTTCATTCTCAGCGTTCTTGTGTGGTTGGTGAAATTTTAATTGAACATCAAACCTAACTAGTACTTGCATATGTAATGTAATTGATGCCCTTTAGAAGTCCGGAAACATTGGCAAAAGCAGAGATTTGACATGTGCCTGTAGGTCTAAGAATTCTTTGTCCTAATGCAAAGCTAGGAGGTATTGATAGGGAAGAGGGAGTGCTGCGATAATTGAATTGTTAAGTATATATTATAGCAGAATAACTGCAGGAAATTATCCCTTGATTCAGGTGTGAAGTGTTGGCTAATATGAGAGTAGTGGGGAGTCAGGGGCTGGTTTGCATGATCTTGAGGTGCTGATTAATTTGAGTGATATATTTAAGTGCTGTGGCCTGACTTTGAGGGGTTTGAGACAGCCTTTGTGGGTTGGCTTGTGTAATCCATTGTGCTATGTGGTTTTGCTGTACTGATTTTCTTAATGATTTATGGTTTTCAGTTGAAAATGAGAGCTGGAGGAATGAGCGAATCATCAAAATGGAAAAAGCAGAAGAGATCACCAAGGCCTCCTCGCCATGTAACTAAGGTCTCTCCTGGGACAGAACAACCAGCAGCCAATGCTAGTAACATTGCAGGTAAGTTGAAATCTGTTTCCAGAGACCAGACAGCATCTGTCCTAGAGCTTTTTTGGAATCTGCCTTTATTTCATTTATCTTAACATGTTGTTTTGCATTAGATTTTTTTGTATTAGTTCTCAGTGACTATAGCAATAAAACATATCATAGATTTTCAGGTCCAGGAGAGTTGGAAGGAATCTTTTTTCACGTGCTTTGATTCAGCCTGCAGAAGTGATGTAGTACGTGACTAGCGCTGCGAGCTCAAGAATATAGTGTTGGGGGGCTTCCATATCCTATTGTTGTATAGGAGTAGACTAAATAGTTAACACTGTTTTTAACCTCTCCTCTGGATAAATGAGTCCCTCTGGCTGCAAAGTACTCTTGTCTCTTGTGCACTCTCCAGTTTGATGGCTCAGACATAAACATTAACAGTGAAAGGAAGCAGACAGGAAAATTGAAACAATAGCTGTGTAAAATACCTAGTTCTGACACTTACTCTGTCACAGGAAACTATTCAGTGTAGTGTGAACGATTCCAAGTGTGTTTCTACACAGCAGCATGATTGGTAAAAACTAAGGAAATAATAAATGCGATCAAATTGCATATAACCCAGAACATCAATCCAGATGATAGCTTATCCCTACATAAATCATCATTATATTTAAGTTTCCAAATAGATATTAAATTCCATTAAACAGTATTATAACTCCGTAACATTTTAGAGAGAAAGTTGAATTGTGTTACAAAGCATGTCATTAACTCTGACCTTGTAGTACTAGGTAATGTATTAAATGTGCTTCTTAGGCCAGAATCCTAGCTTAGCAGGTGAAGAAGAAAGGATTGCAAAATTGATCATGTATTCCATTTCACTTCTTAAGAATCAAGTAATGTCCTGCTACTTACTTAAGACATTTCAAAAAATTAAGTCAGCAATAAAACACCACGGTGCAAAACCGTACACATTTCACATGTAAATTCATAACATAACTCTTGTTTGTGCCTTTATTTTATTACACTGCCCTGCAGTATATCTTCTCTTTTTTAAATATTTGTTTTACATTTTTTAAGTTCTTCTCAGAACCATAAGAGCTGCAAATATGTGGGTTTCTTTTGAAGGAAAACTTAGATTCTTCGAGCACTATCTCATATAAAGAAAAAGTGAAAACATTTCACTGCTCTGTTTCAGACCCATTTGAATTCTATTGCAATTCCATTTGTTTAGGGAAAATTAAAGAAATAGGTCTTGCCTTCCAATCAAGTCAAAAATTCTCACTTTGAAGGAATGACTGATACTTGATGCAAGTCTTTAAAGCGGTTGTGCCATTGCATCAAAAAGTAAAGTACACCTTTTGGACTATTCTCAGATTTCTTCTTAATTATAGAAACCCTCTGCACCCTTTATCTAACTGTGAATTATCTTATTTGCTGAGTCTCTTAGATTCCAACTATTGTATTTTAATTTCGAGAACTGCTAGTATCTCACCTGTTCATCTACTTGATTCATTAATACCTGGCAAAAGAGAACTTAATGTATCTACACTCTCTACATTAATGCATAACTATGTGAGATCATTTGTAGTGTGAAGTAGTAATCAAAGTAATTCTTTGTTGCTGTGTTCAATGTATGAACTTGTGGTTGAGGGGCAGAATGACACTGATCTTTTTGCTTCTGTTTCTCATCAGCAAGCGGAGTTACTTTCATAGATGCTCCTTCTCCCAGCTCCTCTGGGAGCTCAGAAAATGTTTCATCTGTGGTCAGCCCTGCTACAGACAGTGGTTTGGAGTTGTCCTCGCAGACTACTTCCAAGGAAGACCTGACAGACTTGGACCAAGTCACTTCTTTGGGACTTAATGCAGGAATGCAAAATCAGCCCGAACTCCAGGTACATGGATATAACTTATAAAGAAAAGTTCCAACTCCCAGCATGATCAGTTGTGGATTTAGCATGCTTACGCTCTTTCTATCTCTTTTCTTGGTCATAGTGTTTATATTCTATTTCAAGGCTTAGGGTCAGAATAAAACATCCTTCGCTGTCAGTGATTTGTAAATTCAAACACATTCATTTTTTGTTTTCTCTTGAGACCATGTCCATTGGCTCAGAAATTATAACTGTGCAGCCCAGCAATGCACCTACGTATCTAGTTGTACTCCTGCCAATACCATCAACCGTAATTAAAGGAGAAGCTGTTAGAGGGAACATACAAGAAATCCGCGGGAGAACTCACTTTACTCTCTTTAGTGAACAATTTTTCTTGAGTTTGTAGAAGTTCAGCTGTTGGTGTTTGTGCATGTGCGTTGCTGTTGCTCTGAAATATAACTAACCTGAACCAAGGCCTTTGTCAGTGAGTTTTCCTCTGTGTTGTCTCCACTTCCCCTGCAACAGTAATACTGTTGAGAGGATGGATTAGAGCTGCAGGGAACCTTTCAGAGCTGCAGATATTTTGAATGGTAAAAAAGCTAAGAAAGCATAGATAAAAAGAGTGTCCTGAAATCACGTAGCATTTAAAACCAAAAAATGAGCGAAATCCTAACCTCAGGGGCAGTAAGGACTGATAGATTATAGGAATACCTTCAAAGTCAAGTCCTTAGTCCCTCAGCCTAGAGTTATGTAAAATAGATAAGAACTAGATGGAAGTGAAAGGGCAGAGAGGACTGCAGATTATCTAGAGGAAAATTTCCTCTCTTAAATTGTTTTCCTTCTCCTCTTCTGTGAATGACCTGTGTAGTTTTAATAGTTCTGAATGAACAGTGAACAAATAAGCCTTTCTTTTAGCTTGTCTAGTGCCCGTTAACTCTTGTTTCGCTTCTTGCATTCTCAAATGACCGATATCAATGAAGAATGAAAGTCTGAGGGAGGAGAAGATCCAGTCAGCTTCTGTCGAGTCTATCCCTGAGGTCCTAGAGGAGTGCACATCTGTAGCAGAACATTCTGACTCTGCCTCAGTTCATGACATGGACTACGTAAATCCCCGAGGAGTACGTTTTACTCAGTCTTCCCAAAAAGAAGGTGAGAGGTGGGCAATGTTGCTAAAGTCCTTTTTCCTTTCCGCTATTCTTTTTCACTTTCTGCTAAGAGGGTTATGAGCTCCTGCTCCTCAGCTGGTCTGTAACAATTTAATTTGTGACACTTGTTAGGCACCTGCAAAAAACAAAAGCAAAGTTAAGAGTGCTAATCTCTCTCATTTTCCTTTAGGAGCAGCACTGGTCCCATATGGACTACCATGTATTAGAGAACTGTTCCGCTTTCTTATCTCACTCACCAACCCTCATGACCGCCACAACTCTGAGGTGATGATCCACATGGGGCTGCAGCTGCTAACTGTTGCCCTGGAGTCAGCACCCATTGCAAACTGCCAGTCCCTCTTGGGACTTGTGAAGGAGGAGTTGTGCCGACACCTATTCCAAGTGAGTCTGGCTTATGCTAGCATGGCATATGGCACTGGGGAGTCAGATACTAATTTGCATCAAAGAGTCTATTGGAATTTAGTATTCTGAGGTTTGGCAGATTTTGGTCTTCAAATAAGCTCTCTGCTGCATTGCAATGAGACTTCTGAATTGCACCAGTGAAACAGTGCTGTTGCAAAGCCAGAGAGGTTGTCGTGTGCTATTCTCTTCAGACCAGGGCCAAGAAGGATGAAGGTGATTTGAATGAACTGTTACTGTGGGATAACACCGTGTTTTGATATAATTGGTTTTGAGGTAATCATGGATGCAAGTTACCAGCTTAGTAGGAGGCAGAAGTACCAAGCTATTAATTGCACAAGGGCCATCTCAGAGGCAGGTCTTCTCCCAAGTTCCTTCTCCACTAAGAGGATCTGTGAACTTGGCAAAAAAGCAAAGTTGTGGTAGGAAAGGTGCTACCACAAGCAAAAGGGAATTAAGTATATTGATCCTCACTAGCAAAAAATGAGACCAGGAGCTTGAATAAGGGATTGGTTTTTGAAATACCATTGCTATGGGAGGTGAAATGTGGATTTCAAGGCTGTTGCAGGTCATGCCTGCAGTGCCATAGTACTGCTACTTATAGCACACAATGACTAGCCTTTGTAATTCTTAAAGGTTTTTTTTTTATTTGTTTCTTATTCAGCTACTGAGTGTGGAACGGCTCAATCTGTATGCAACCTCCCTCAGGGTGTGCTTTCTTCTCTTTGAGAGCATGAGAGAGCATCTGAAATTCCAGCTGGAGGTGAGTTTTTTGAGTATCACTAGGTGCCTAGTAATAGTTTCTTGGACTTCAGTTAAATGCATATAGCTAGGCAGTAAGATACAGTCTAAATATCAATTTACCTTTGTATAAATGACTCAGTGGGTTATGGGTAGGCTGTGTAGGCCTTTTCTTGTTAGATAATGTTTTCAAGACTGGTGTACTGCACTGCCTGCCTTCATACTGGTTTTTTAGAATCGTAAAGCCAGGTGCAGTGAATGGTAGAACTATTTGAAACCTTTCTACAACCTTCTTCAGAATAAGCCATCATTAAAAGTGGAGTGTCATGAGGGAAGGTGAAGCTTAAATCTATTTCTGTAGTCCTCAAAGCTATTCACTGTCCTGCTTTCTTTTTTCTTTCCTTAAACTGAGCTGCCCTGTGTTTCTGCCAGATGTATATCAAGAAGCTGATGGAAATAATCACTGTGGAAAACCCAAAGATGCCCTATGAAATGAAGGAGATGGCTTTGGAAGCCATTGTTCAGCTGTGGAGGATTCCCAGTTTCGTGACGGAGCTCTACATTAACTACGACTGTGACTACTACTGTGCCAACCTCTTCGAGGAGCTCACCAAGCTGCTCTCCAA